TTTTCCCACCCCCACCCCAGGCATTTTTTCTTAATATTACCTTTTAAACGTAAACTCGTGTCCAATTGGGTTTTGTGCACTCCAATTTTCCCCCCCCCCCCCCCCCCCCCGGTACAAGTTTCTTAGCCGCATCAAGTTGAATAAGCTGCAAATCCTACTTGATACGTGTAAAGAAAACAAGAAGACATGAATTCGAAGTGACTTTATATCGACTACGGAAATGTTCTAGCTCGTGGTTGGTATAGTTCAACTCAGATAGATACAGGTAACCTACCAGGTTGGTAGGTATCTAAGTGCGCAATACTGATCTCCAACTAACTCCCGTGAACACCATGGATATACGATGCTGGCGGCTTATTATAGGTGTAAATTGCAACGTATTGAATAGGATTTACCAAGAGTACCTTCCAGCTAGATACAAGGAAGGCACTTGTTTGACAGACTTCGGGGGAGGGGTTCCACCACATGACTTACTTCACTCTCGTGCCAATGATTGGGCGGAATACAAACGGGAGGCTGAACGGATTTTTATACCGATTCCGGGCTGACCGCAACTTTTCCTTCGGGAAGGACGCTACTCGCCAAGCAAGTCTATATTAATCCGTCCCGTGCGACAGTATGACCTAAACTCGCATGTTTACCGAAGACAACGACTAAATGGGTAGGTATAAGAGAGCTATGTTTCAGTTTTCGTTGATCCATTGAAAAGGAAGGTAGGTACTTTAGAGGAATCCTCAGAATCTCTTCGATGCCGTACTGACACTTAGTCTTCTAGGCCCCTAGTTTAGGTAAGTAGAGAAAAGCTTTAGGTGCCTACGGTGCCTGAGCAACTGTTTATATTATGTAGAACGTATGTAGCTATAGCATCAAGTGATAATAGTAACGGTCTTCTAATTGAATACGATGGATGGCAATGGTTACAGTAAGCAGTTCCCCATAAGTCACAATTCGAAACTAATACACAATTCAGTCAAAAATAAGTTAATTTACTAAAAGAAAAGCCAGCATTTCTCAAACGATTATATCATTTCTGTCGGGCGACTCTCAAGTTGCAACACGAAAGTATTTTGTTACCTTTGTCTTAAAGCGCGCCGGCGGTAGCTTAAAAGTGGAATCATGAATAGAGGCACCTAAGCTGATTAATGTCGCATATGTACCTGGTAGTCAGCTTGAATGAGACAGCTCTTGACCATTAAAGGATTTTCTTTGATTCGGTGAGAAAATTTCAAGATTGAATGCATTGTGCGTCACAAGCTTATCCTACATTCTCTCAGTCGAAGTTGGATACGCACACATTATCCGGCGGATATTAATCATACGGGAAGCTTCACGGGCCTCGCCGGATGTAAGTAGTGCTTATTTTAGTGGAGTTCCGTCTCCAATGCTACCGAAAATCGGCCGGCTTGTTGCAGTAACAAGGCAAACCTTTCAGGATCTGAATCCCAAAGACTCTGCTCTTCCCTAAACTCACAAGGACCAGGCTGCGATAAGCCGACAAAGTTTGCGGCTCCGCGGAGAACGAGAATGATGATTGTGGTGATGGGCCTTGATGCTTATCCGGAAAGAATAATATAAATCTTCGTGTTCGCGGGGTATATCTTTCTCGTTTGTCGGATCAAATCTCATTGGACATTAAACCTCTCACTTCCCCTCTGTCCCTTGTTCGAGCTCACGTCTCGTAAACGTCCTAAACAGCAATGGTTCTCCCGTCTGTTCCATCTAGCCTACTCGGAGCTCCAGCAGGAATTCCGCGAAGTGTTCTCTTGACAGCTACCGTAGCTGCCGCGGCATGTTTGTCGATCCCGCTTATTCTACAGTCTAAAGGGGTCAAAAGTCAGCTCAGTATACCCTCTCCGCGTATAAAAACTCTTCCGGTAATCTCGGAGAAGGAAAGCTTAGCCCTTCCATATCCTCTCGATGCTCTACCTGGGGGTAGAGATGTAGAGACACCATATGGTTCCATACGAGTCTATGAGTGGGGTCCCGAAGATGGGGAAAAGGTTCTTTTCGTGCACGGCATCAGCACACCCTGTATATCGTTAGGGGACCTCGGACATGAGTTTGTTGGCAAAGGGTGCCGGGTCATGCTCTTCGGTAATTTTACCCCCCCCCCCCTTTTTTTTTTTTTTCCTTTTCCCACCCTCGTACTATTAAAGCCTATATTTCAAAGGCGAAAAGTTTCGAAACCAGTCTTCTTACCATATTCATAATTAGATCTCTTTGGCCGCGGATACTCAGATGCGCCTAGTGACCTTGTTTACGATGCGCGGCTTTACGTAACCCAGTTCCTGTTGGTCTTGGCATCGTCTAAGTTATCGTGGACAAACTTTAACCTTGTAGGATACTCTCTCGGAGGAGGCCTTTGCGTCTTGTTCTCACGATATTTCCCACACCAAATCAACTCGCTTATACTAGTAGCGAGTTGCGGCTTAATCCGACCGTATCACGTTGGCTGGAAGAGTTGGCTACTCTACAGCTCAGGACTGCTCCCGGATTTCCTAGTAAAGGTCTTAGTTCGGAGGAGAATACGGCCGGAGATCGCACAACCGCCTGGAGCCGCAGGTGGCACTGACATCGCGTCCGCTGAGGTTAAGAAGTACCTACCAAGTGGAGACGGCGATTCTAATGGCGGTGCTCGATTCGACAGCACCTCTATCTCAAAGTTTCGGCCGGACACTACCGTATCCTCAGTCGTGAGATGGCAGGTCGATCACCATGATGGGTTTGTCACGGCGTTTCTAAGCACCATCCGAAACGCTCCTATTTACGCTCCTCAACGAGACTGGAAAGCGTTAAACAAGATCCTTGAGGGCAGAAGAGAGGACAGAAGAGAGTCGGCGCTTGCCAGAGAGGCCGCATCCGCCTCGGGACTGCATGCGGGGAAAATCTTGATGATCCTCGGGGAGGACGATCCTATTGTGGTCAAGGAGGAGACGATAGAGGATGCCCATAACGCTCTCGGAGCTGACGGGGTTGAAATTTCCGTCCTACCTGGAGGTCATGAAATACATATAACGGCGAGCTCTCGCATTGCAGACGCGGTGGAGGCCTTCTGGCGTAAATACCCTGCCTAAGCAATTAGGTGTTGATAGATAATAACCATAAACACCTAGACCAAGGTTGCCTTCTCCAGCACCAAGAACTGGAACGATTGTTGGATTCAGCTAACGAATATCTTGAGAGGGGTAGTTGTACAGGTCACGTTTCGATCATCCATGCCTTAAGACTGCAGCTCTCCACATACGTCTAGCCGTGGCCCTAATATAATTCTGTTCTACTTTGGAAGAGAGCAAGAGAACTCCAATTATACCTATGTAAGTTCGATACGTAGACATGTCCCTATGACCATGCAGTGACGTGTTAAGGGATACCTATTTGCCAAGTCTTTGCCTTCTTATATAGGCGCGATCTCACTAAGCCTTATCCTTAGGTATATATTCGTAGGTCGTTCCAGTTGCTTCAAAATCCATATACCGCTATGCTGCATGAGTAACGAAACTTGCAGCAATCATACCAGAATGATATGTTCGTCTAGAAGCGAACTCGCTGGCTTTCCTCTTATATAGGACGCCAAGTTTACTGGCGCCGGCTTCTTGAGGTTTACTACCAATCGTATCAGGTTCCCAGGTAATAGATGGTGTGGGTGGTGTGGATGGTATGGATAAGTTAGTGTGCCAATGCGAATACTACCTTAGGTGGGTAGGTATGTATCACCATGTAGCAGTGCCTAGCCGTACTGCCCTAAAGCAAATCTTGGGGTTGCTTACTGATTATTCGCTTCCCACGTGGCCTAAGTATAATTAATACCTTAGGTACGAATAATAAACAACAATCTCACTATCCAGGAGAACACCGCCTTAGAGCCAGCATAGCTACCAAGGCTCGGAAATATCCAGAGCAAAAGTAGAAGGAGTGAATCGAGCTTCCCCGTTAACGTCTACAGGAGTTATGCATGACACGTTGCTATACCGGTAACAATATGTCTGCTCTACCACCTCCTGTCTATCTTCGACTTATATGGGTTTGAAGATTATAGCCAAGGTCGGGGGAGTTTGGGTGGCCATTCAGATGTATCGAATATGTAGTGGTTATCTGCAAGTATAATTGGCGGAGTGGCAGGGACTATAACGATTGGTAAGTTGCTTGTGTAAGTTGTTTGTGTAAGTTCCCCGGGTCTGGGTCCTAGTCACGGGAGAGTCTTTTAGAGTTCATCTCGATACAGACGCAAAGTATAAGAGGTAGGTACCTACCTAGGTTAGGTCTAGGTAGGTATTTAGGGATCCGGTGATGTAAGTTAATTTCCGTAGTGTAGGGAAATTACCTTAGGTTGTTTGATGGAAGTCGTTTAAGGCCAGAAACAGGTAGGGATTGTCCCTTTTACCCCGCAATTCCCTTTAAGGTACATACCTAGGTGACGTAGTGAGCAGCAAATCAGAGTTGGAACATAGGGGTCTTGTTACCTTCCGTCCCCCGCGAAATTCTAATCTTAACTTTTAGCAGTCGTTCCTTTCAATGTTGTCTTGTCAGCTTTGTTTGTAACTCACTCTCTCCTGTCTCTCTAGTGGGGCACGACTACGGGTTAGTACATGCATCAGTCCCTTCCAGGCGCATTACTAGACGCATTAGCGTATAGCTGTTTTAACTGGCCGGACAAGGTAACCTGCCAGTCCAGCCAGTAGGCTGTTACCCCTCAGGAGCTACCAGCTACCCAGAGCAGCCAAAAGGTAGGTACCTAGGATTGGCGATCTTTGGGTCCATTTGCATAGCGCGTTCCGAGAAAGAGCAACCCCATGCTGCAATATCCATCGCGACTGCCTTAGGTAGTTTTCATATTCCATAATGATCCTACTATGTAAGATTCCGATAAACGGGCTACTCTTATTTTAATTCGTTCTTCTTCATACCTGTTTTTATGTTTCCTTGTACCTAACCTACATGTACAAACCACCTCTCTGCTCGACTCCAATTCCTACAAAGTCTACTACTCCTTATTCGGTATTATATTTCCGTTATCCTTCTTCCGGCAATAATAGGTAGTAAACTGTCGACAAATTCGGCGTTGTCTAGAAGCTTTGAATTACCCCGCTTGGAGGCATTTCCCTCCCCCCCAAGACGGGATCGAGTCAGTCGATGCTACACCACTGCACGGACTACCATCGTCACCTTCAATTAGCAATACACTTTCTTTGATAGTGTGCATTGGCGTCTCATTGCGTCAAAGGGGAAAGGGAACGAGCTGATCGCATTGTCATTGCCACACCTATTGACACACACCTATTAACAGATCTACCTCCTTATCTGGCCTTTACCGTACCACACACCATACACCACATACCACGCACCACGCACTACGCACCACACCCTTGTCGCTCTCTCTGGCCATTCATATCAATCGTGATACTACGATACTACTTACCACAAAGAAACCATCAACCTTCTCGTCTCACTCCTTTGATTATTCCGCTGTCTTCTGTTTCTTTCCCACCTCGATTCTGGATCCTGTGTTTCGGTCGTCAAGTTGATCGTCCCACACAGCAAACTCAAGGTTTCACTTCTGCTACTTCTTACTTCTATAACGCCACATCATCTGACCATTCCAATCGAAACACGCACTGTCCCAATCTATAATCGTGCGATTCAATCTACTAGCAACCATACTAGTAACCTGCTACGGTTTACATAAATCCGAAGGCCCTCCGTCAACATTCTTCAACTAGCTTCCTGAGTACCCAAACCATCCTCACTAAACGTTGAGAAAAACAAAAACTAGGACTAGATCATTTACAAAATAGCAACATGTCGAACGATAACACCAGTGGTCCCTCCAACGACCGCCGTGGCTCTGTCACTTCCGCCGCTTTCTCTAACCTCTTCCAAAAAAGCAACTCGACTTCAACTGCGAATGGTAATGGTCGCGAATCCATCATGTCGGCCGCGGTTAGAGACCAGCGCCGACGGTTATCTGTTACTACGATAGGACTGTCTGGCACATCCCCTAATTCTGGAAATTCTGCATTTGGAATTCGCAGAGGCAGTATTTCTACCAACAATTCAGATTCTATTGACGAGAGCGCCATCGATGATGAAGAATCAGCCAAGATAGGCCCTAATTCGCCCTTTGTTCGTCGTATTAGCTTCGGTGCTCAGGCAATGCGAACTCTGCGTACTGGGCCTGGAAGCCCTGGAACAACTGGTAGGATCCCCCAGCGTTCGAGACGTATTTCTAATGGAAATACGCTTGCTCCATTCTCCAGTGCCTCGCCCGCCTCCGCTGCTGAGAGACGCGCGAGCACCCCTCAGGCAAGCAATACATTACCCTTCAGAGCCCCTTCTGACATATTTTCTGCTCGGGCAGACAGCGGATACAATTGGTCCGAGCAGCTTAGGACCCGTGCCGAAAGTAGCGTCCAAGGTCATCGCCCGACCTTCGGACCTCACAGATATGGCTCACCACCTCACGGCAGCGGCCAACATGATCGCTCCAAATCGGTTTCCGAAATGCCAGTCCCTCCTCAACAAGCTGCCGCCGTAAAGCTGAAGCAGCCAGAACGACCAAAACCAGACCATATGCAAGAGCGCATTCTCAAGGGCGATTTCTACATGGACTGATTATGCTTGGCGTTGTACAGAGGAATTTCAATATTGATTTATGTTTTGATACTTTGGAAACCTGTACTCTCCCAAGCTATCCCTTGCAGTATCTCAGAAACTTACAAGGTCGCGGGTCATATGCTTTTATCCATTGGGGTTTCCTTTTCACACCGTCTCTTCAACTAACGTCATTCGTTTCGACGAGTTGTTTTTATGGCGTTTAGATGGGACGGTGCCGGGGGTAACCGGGTAAATTGTCTTACCACGTACCAAAAAGCTTAGCCAAATAATGGCAGTCTCGCTTGTGGGGATGACATAGCATTGAGAGTACGGAAGGTGTTTGACGAAGTGAACGTTTCCTCGCAGAATTATCCGTGTTGTCCTCTTTTCTAGCTTGCGGCAACTTCACAAGAAATCAGCATTGTGGGGAGTTCCAACAACTTGGGTGAAAACCTCTACCTATATGCTGTAGTTGTATGATTACGGAAAGGGATCAGGACAGGCTGAATGGTCTTATTACAGAGACTGGAGAGGGCTAAGCATGACTACCTAATCTATGTACGAAGTTATCGGGGATGAGGTCATTTGACGATGATATTTTTTTGGAAGCCAGTTCCCTACGCTATTAGGAGAGGTAGATAAGCTGCGTTATACAGACTGAAATGAAGTAACCAAATTCCAAAAATTCAAATCCGATCCGATTAGCAGTGAATGCTTCTTTATATTACTAGTAATCATAATTCAACCGTTCTACTGGCAGGTATGTACCCTACCTGTTTCGTTTTGCTTTCAACTCTATCTTATGCGTACCAGAATGAATACACACAGCGGTTTGGAATCGTTCAAGCATCTTTAATACGCGCCAAACCCAAATACCCGCTCTTTGCCCATAACCCACCGAAACCCTAGCCGATAGAAAGGATAGTAAAAAAGAATTTTCGCCAGTTCATCCGTAACAAACCCCCACCAAGCGAGTATATGTATATGTGCGCCTCCCGAAAAAAAAAACCCATAACCCAGATACGTCATCAGTCAAGCAAGCAAGCAAGCTGCGTATCATGTTCTGTCTGAGGTATGTAGGTGGTAGCGGTATGAATAGGCAGGTAGGTTAGGTTAGGTAGTAGGGTACGTGCCATATGGTCCCTGAGTAATAACCGATAGGTAAATCAGCTCACAGGGTAAAGGATAAAAGTGGGAGTAGCGATAGTGTAATGAAGGGAGAAAAGGGGGGGTGAGGACAAAGTAGAATGTACCTAGGTAAGCAGCCACTAAAATATCATTTCTCCCCTTTTTTTGGCCATCCTTCTTTTCTTGATATCTTCCGTTCTTTTTATTCTCTCCTCGACACTGATTTAGAGAGCGGAGAAGTATAACGTCGTAATAGTACAAGCGATTAGATTCCTCTTTTAGTGTAAGCTAGGTGAGGTTTGTTTAAAACTGGAAGAAGTTTCCATTCGGACCGCCTTGGGGTGGGGGTGGCGCGGTATAACCCTCGGATACGGGAAGGGGCCCGAGCATGTCGTTCTGCATCATGTAGCGCATTGTGTCTTCGTACGAGGCTGGGTCGCCAGGGCTGCCACCGCCAAAGCCTGTTAGCGTAAGTCCGAGGGCTTGTTCAAACCCGTCCCCGAGACTACCGTAGTCGAAGTCGTTAGGCCCAAATGGTGAGCCCATCCATGGCATCAACGACGGCTCTGGCACTGAACCCATTGCCATGCCACCCCTAGGTACCGGCCCGCTCGTAGGCTCGTACATAAATGGCTGTACTGGTTGTGGTGCTGTGCGCAGCCAAGCTTGAAACGACTGTGGGTTGCTAGCATCCACGCCGGGCGGAGGTTGATTCGAACCATTGTTGCGTGGTGGGCCGTTCCCGGTTGCTATTTCTGAAAGAAGTTGAAGTGGGGTGTTCGTTGGTTCAGGATTTAAGTGGCGCTGATGATGTTGCTGCTGCTGTTGCTGTTGCTGTTGCCGCTGCCGCTGCTGTTGTTGCAACTGGGGGCCAGCATCATCACTTTCGTCCTTTAGAGTTGTTGATCTCTTTGCATGATGGGCTGCAGCGAGCTCTAATTCTTCCTCATTTTGACCTACTTTGCCCTGAGCCTGGCCTTGCCTAAAAAACCAGTTCCGTAACATGGCCAAAACGAGGAGGAACTTGCTGGCAGGTCGAGACTTATCTGAGGCAGCCACCTCGCGAAACTTCTCGAGCAACTTCTCGAGATACTCGGCAACTTTCATGTTGTCCTTGTTGATGACCTTACCCAACTCGGAATCCGAGTTACTTGCGCTGAAATACATTTTGATCAAAACGACCACGGCATAAGCAACCCGAACAAAACTAAAGATCGGGATGCAACGAATACTGTGAACGTCCATGGATAGGAAAGTCTCAAAGATGCCATCGATAGCAGTAAGACATGATGATAAAGCACTAATATGTGACGGGGTTAGAGAATCGTCTAAGCCCGGGATAGGTTCTCGGAGAGAATCAGCATTACACGGAGGCCGGTATTCCTCTGCGTTCTTGTCAACATGGAGTGCGATTTCATGCATATATAAATTCAATACGTGGAAACCGAGGACAAGCGATGCTACCAAATGTCAGCCAACACGATAATCAAGATGAAATTTGGTCTAAACATACGTCTCTTCTCTGATTTGGGGATAGAGTCGCTATATTTGGACAGATCGCGTTCGAACCCCCGGAGAGCGTACTGTACTTTCTGCTCCGAGACATTGACAAAGACACTAGGGTCATCCATCGAAAACTGTATGCCTACATCCTCGGCGAGCCGGTGCGTCCAGACAAGATGACAAAGATACCTATCCGAGGGTGCCGCATCCGGAGAGGATTCCAGGATATCCATGCACTCGGTCATGAATGACTGCCATCTAATCAAGTTTGGGCGGTGCAAAGCCATGGAAACATTCGAAGAAAGAAAATAAACCGCGAGCCACGTCCGCCGTGCTTCGATCGAGGTAGGATCTGGGAGAGGCTGTTTCCTGAAAGGATGATCGCGCCAGGTATACGGTACGAGTCGTGTCTTTGGATTATACTTCCTCCTACCTAAGCCAATATCGATAGACATGACGGCCGCCAAGTGAACAAATTGATAAAACTTTAATTCTTCGAAATGCTCAGGCGGGTAGTACCAGATGACGCTGACGAGAAGGGACTGGACTAATTCCAACGACTTCTTGCCCGAAATAACAATATGCTCAGCAAATATCTGCATAATCTCCTTAACTAGTTGACGCTGAAGTTTCGGGGTCTCAGACGAGGCAGCTGCAAGGATGGCAAGGAATAAGATCGGTTTCGTCTTCCGAATTTCGGTGGCAGTAGTACCTTCAGCAAACACGACCGCCGGGAGATGTGGTGTCATGTCCTCCACATACCTGGTGAAGAGGGCAGTAGCTTCGTTCATATTTATCAATCCGCGATCAACTATATCTGGCGGCTGCTGCTCCGATACGACGCTCGACTTAGGTGGCGCCGACGAAGGGTTAGTCGCACTAGAGGAACTGGATGTTGGTTCTGTGAACTTCCGCTTCTGGCCCGCCATAGTCGGCGGTGGCGCTGATGGACGCTTCTCAGGCGAGGAAACAGGGTGGTGATACTGAGGTTGAGGTTGAGGTTGTGGTTGTGGTTGAAGTTGTGGTTGATGATGTTGGTTCTGGTGTTGAGTATCTCGAGGCGGAGCGCCCCAATCTCTTACAGTCGCGGTATGGCCATACCCGAAAGTATGGTCCTCCGATGGGGGCGGGTGGGCAGCATTATTAGGTGTTCCTCTGCTCGCCTGAAGACTTGCCGTTAAAGCATCTATTTTCTTCTCCAGCTCCGCAACACGACTATCTGTTTTTTTCTGCCTCTTCCTCGTAGGCTGCGTCACGACGCAATTCCTACCAGCTTTCGCGCACCGTTTACATGGTCCGTCCGGGTTCGCGGGATCGGGCTCGCATTTAACCTTTAGCCCACGGCATGCCTCACAGGCTCGCGGCCGCTTAGGATCATTCGGGTCGTGCACCGCATTAGGAGTATCGTTGTTAGCCGAGTGCGGATGATTGTTGGGCGTTTGAGGGGTGAAGCCGGAGGTAGAAGCTGGCGGTGATGGGCCAGCTGTTTGGGAATGAAGTTGCTGTTGTAATGGTGAATCGGGAAGGTCGGATTTATGGAATGTATGAATAGATGATGTTGATGTTGATGTTGACGTCGAAGCGGGGATTCCTGCGGCGGCGATTTGAGGTGGTAGCGGGTTCGTTGGACCGTTGACGACAATTGAATCCTCACCGGCATCACGAAGACGTGGGTCAAGTGAAGATGGATCCATCTCCAAATTTTCCTTTTTTTTTTCTCCGCCCGCCGATAAAAAAAGATCGAGACGCCCGCTTACCGACTTGGTGCTAGAGGCTCACAAGTACAAATTGCGTACAATGTCGCAGTAGTAGATGACCGACTCGGCGGTTGTAACGGTCAACATAATATCCGGCGGCCGACGGTATGAGAATGGTAGGTACTCCATATGGAGCAGCATGGAGGGAAATCGACGGGGCGGGAATTTTGTTGGCGAGTGGCTTGGGCTTTCCAGGCTGCCCAGGCCCCAGGGCCCCTTCTTGGTCTTTGCTCTTGCTTGCTTTCGGTTGCTTTCGGTTCACAAAGAACTGGGGCAGCCCGTACGGTCCCCACTCTTTTAGCTACCTCTATACGTAGTAACTTACCTAACCTTACCTAACTTATAAAGTATCAAGGTACAACACTGAAGTACCTACCGAGGTGCCGACATGATTCTATCTTACCTACCTCCTACAGTATAACAATCCGATATTCTTCCGTCTCATTTGTAGAAGACTTGGCGAGAACTTCAAAGCCAAGTTACCACCGAAGTCTATTCTCTTAAGTCCAATCAGTCATCAGTATGAATACCTGTTATTCACAATTTTGAGACATCTTTAACGGTTTCGTATTTTCTTTATGTAGAACTCAAAATACTATATAAACTTCGCTAAGACTTAATTTAAATATAGCTTATTAGTAGCTGAATATTTCGAAGTCTTATACCAGTCTACTACTACCAACCTTCAACAGACAGCTCTTAATTAAGAAAAATAAGTCGCGTATAAGTGGCCCAAATAACGGGAATACATACGACAGATTATAAGCAGATCAGACTGCTTTAATAGAAGTAATCTCCGGCATTTTGCTTGACACTGTCGACTGTGATGATTTGAGGGACGTCATATTTTGGAATAATACCTCCTAGTAAGGTACTAGTATGTAATAATACCCAGGTCCGTTCCCACCATGCACGCGTCCCCGCTGAAAGGAAGATATTTCAACTACTAGTTAAACGGAGTTGCCGAATTAGAAAACCCCAATTCGAATTCTCAATATCTCTAGAGATGAACCCTTGAAACAGGTACCTAAGTTTATTCTTCATTCCTCTATTGCGGGCAAGTGTTGGCAAACTCTGATGTCTTAGTCTTATATCTTGTCTCAAAATTACATGTCTGGATTCGTAACGCCTGCTTGTCAACGCGATATGGATCTGCGGCTTAGTGAAAGCATTTAAAGCTTAAAGCTATTAGTACCTGCATCGCGGGATATTGCCTCTACCGCGATTGTAAGGTGTAAAGCCCCAGTATAGACAGCCGTGCGCAGGTCACAAGGACTCAGCAGAAACAAGCGCGAAACGAACGAACGAGCGTCTGTTTCTTACGTATGTCTCAGATCTTTTTATTTACTTGCTAGTACTATGAGGTATTGTACCGCATATGCACGTAAATAGGGTGAACGCTGTGACCCTTTTTTTCAAATTTGCCTGGCAGAAATGAAATACACCAAATCCCCTGGGTTCTCCGATGGGACAAACCTCATGCACATGGATATGGGCTGACATGTCGCATCGAAACCCCTGGCCTAATTACTTCCTTGAGATGAGGTGCCGCCATTTCGAGTACGGGGTGCAGATGAACGGATGGGTACCTACCTAACCTCTGGTAACCTACTCGGTATATATTGCCGTAAACGGGTAGCGAAACATAATTCATCGTCAGTTATCAGCTAAAGCTCGGATGGAGACGCCAAGGATCTTGATAGGAAAAAAAAAACCAAAACTTCCCATGACGAGGGACGACTAAAGACCCCGGCCTAAACACTTGTAACAAACATTGGTAGTTATAAGGTAGGAGGCACGGCGACGACAAATTGAGACAGGACCCCGAAGCCTTTGATTTAGGACAAGGCTATGTATTATGTGGTGTGGTGTAATAGTATTATTAGTTGGCCCTTCGTCGGCTTGCCTTATCCCTAGGTATATCTAGCATTACATAGTAGTTATCATAAAAACCTCAGCTATAGATTTAATTATTCATGTCAGGGATGTTCACGACCCCAAAAGCCTTGACCCCTGGCATTCTTAGCGAGCAAAATGGTTCTTGAACCCTTGCATACCCTCCCTGTTCTCTTTAGTCGCGCGCCTGGTTCGAATTTCGAGGATAATTCCGGTTTACATCTCTCGCCAATTCGTGTTCACCGTCCGTTGGTGACTGCGTAACTCAAAAACGCTTCGGTATAATCCGTCAAACTCCAAGAGCAGGATTCGAGTTATTGCCGGTATATGTATCCTCTCACCGGCCAGCGAAGAGGGTCTCTCACCTCAGTAAAACGGCAACCGGAATCGTTCCGGGGGTGAAGGCTTTGAATACTCCGGTCTTACCTAGATATGTCTATCGTTTATGCCCGGCTCTCGATCATAGGAAGCAGCAATGACCCCGCGACACCGGCAACCGACCGTATCGAAACCGACGTAGTACCGCTCACCACCGAAGGATCTAGGATAATCGCCTCGGGTATAATCCTGATTCTCCTTGTGGCATTATGTACCGGCCTGCGATTTTGGAGCCTTCGGCGAAGTGGCCGCGCATTCATGGTGGATGATGGGTTGTACCTCGGAGCGGTAATCATATTCTACGGCCTTGTAGCCACGGGTTTCTCGATGGTGCTAGCAGGTGGCGCGGGTCATCACGTCGGAGAGTTGCAGGATTGGCACCTGGTGCGACTTTTGAAGGTTCGTCGGTTTATTTGAGAACTCCATCAGGCGAATCTACGTCGGCCTTCCATTTCCGAGTCGCCATTCGCTGGGAATGGATCTCAAGCAACTAGCAAGTTCTAACTATATACTACAGGCTATCTATGCTGGTCAATTCTTATATGCGATTTCACTGGGCTTGATGAAATTCAGTGCTATACTGATGTTGATACGTATCTTCTTCGACCGTCGATTCAAACTCGCTGCCATAGCCACCATGGTCTTCACCGTCGCCTGGATTATTCTGAGCATACTCATCGAGTTTTTAATATGTCGACCGGCTGAAATAAACTGGCAGATTCGAACGGCTGGTACTTGCGGAGATCAGAAAGCAGCTTTTGCAGCGATAAGCCTCATAAATGTCATAAACCAGCTCATGATCTTGGCTCTACCTCTACCCATGATCCTAAAACTTCAGATGGAATGGCGATACAAAATAGTCACCATATGCATTTTTAGTATTGGTATACTGTAAGAATGAAGCCGTACCCCTTATAACCGGTATCTAAGCTAACACATTCTGCGTCAACTATAGCACATTACTATTTGGCGCCCTTCACCTTTCTGCACTTGTACACATTGACTACAGCGATATACCGTACACAATAGTACAAGCGAGCCTTTACGGGACATGCGAGGCGGGCATAGCCATCATCATATCCAGCTTTCCCCTCCTTCGACCTGTATTCGAGACGGTGTTCTCAATGCGTTTATCCAGGAACACGGGATGGGAAAGCAAAGGCACCATTCTCACGCTATCCAAGACACACAAAAGCACGAAATCTAGCGGATTTACTCGTATGGCCTCCGAGTCGAGAGAAGAGCTCGAGTTGGGTAATATGGGCGCGCATCGAGCCAAACGAGATACGTACATCACAGCGGGGAAACGGCCCACGTTCCGTGACGACGACGACAACAGTTCCTTACAGAAGATCGTGGTGACGAGCGAGACGATCGTTAGTAGAGTTAAGGGTGAGCTCTAACGTTAAAATCCGGTGTTTTCGATTTTCGAGTGGCAAGACATGGAGGTCTAGGGGGGGGGGGGGGGGGGGGGGGGGGGGAATAATAAAAATAAAAAAAAAAAAAAGCACCCGCGGGGGGACCCCCGCCACGGTCGGTTGGTA